ATAAAAATCATAATAAGCAGTAATCGCAAGTCACTGCTGACCAATACAGCGATCCAATACAACCGATGTATCAAAAATATGTATCACTTCAATTCAAAACCAAAACACTCATCAAAAAACACTCGATTATTAATCAAAATAATAAAAATAATAACCGACTCGAAACATCGATTAAAATCCAAAAGCGTCCGTTCACAATCATAATAATAATAATAATAACAACTCACTTCCGATTAACAACCTTAATAACAAGTTTCATTACACTCTTTCACAGCATTATAATTATATTCTTAATCAATTAATAGACTCAGAATTAATCCAAACTCATCCTCACAAGCACATATCGATCGGAAAACAATTGAGACTGTAGCAAAACAGAGAGGCGGGGCTTACGTTAAAGTGGGAGGTGCTTGCAATAAAAGAGGCGGAGACAGGGCCTTGCATCGGAAGAGAGACGGAGTTGAACGGGGAGAGCACAGAGAGGCTCTTGGACAAATTGGCACCAAAAAGGACAGACAGCTCAGCCAAGTAGTGGGAAAACGGGGTGGGTAAATGACACAAGCACAAATTTCAAGAGCAAAAACACCTCAGAAAAGAGCGTGAGACGGTTGGCAGTGAAACGATGTTAACACACTAATTGTAAGAAAACGGCCAGCGGTGTTCGTTTGATGATGACAGTGGTGGATATAGTGCTGCTGTGTTGTGATGAGTTGAATTTTTGAATTTGGCGCTCTTAGGACACACGCGCCGCTCACGATGAACCGCCTTGGCCTTGTTGCTCTAACGCGTCGAATTCCGCCTCAAAATTGAAATTCTCATAAGTTTGGCAACAAGCCAAAATAATTAAAAATATTGGCTACACGTCAAAAACAATTAAAAACTCACCGCGACCTCGTCCATATGCGCCAATATATAATTCACTGCCAAATCTTCGTTCTTATCGCACGCGAAATACGCCTCTATTACCAGTTGTTCAGGGAAACCCATTGATTTCAACTGAAAAAGAGATGGGCGTGGCTTAGCTGAAATCAACCGCGGAATGGGCGTGGCCAAACTGGAATCAACTGACTGAAATTTTACAAAAATGGGCGTGGCAAAACTTNTCAACTTACTCGATTGATCGCGTCCCGCTCTGCCTCAGTTATCTGAATCGAGACCGTACGCGGACCGCCTGCGCGCGCACCTCCTGCCGCTCCGCCCACCGCTCGTCCATGCACCGTCGCGCCACCACCCGCCGTCGTGGCACCTCCTTCCGGATTGGGCGCGTTCAGCAAGCTTACAAATTGCTCCTGAAACGAAAAGGTGCACGATGAAAACGACCAAGATCAACCCTATACATCCCAAAAACCCACCCAAAGCTAACCTGATTATTCTGTATCGCTTCCATCAAGGCCGGATTCGACTGAGCGATTTGCTGTATGATCTGCGGGAGGATCGCCGGATTCGACTGCACCAGTTCACGGAGCTGTTCGAATTGCGGTAGTTGCCTCAAGAACTCGAGGCCACCGGCCACATCCGACGGCACGTCGTGACCACCGCCAGCGCCCACCTCAGCCTCTTCCTCACCCTCGACAACGCCAGCCATCTCCTCCTCATCCGGTATACTTGTGCAGAGATATTCCACGGCTCGATCTCCGTTAAAAAATGCCGCGCGGAGTGCGCGTATTACCTGAAATTCGATTAATTCCGTCTTTTTTTTGAAAAATTTAACAGCTTCAATCTGTTAAGGCTTAGTTTCGAACTCACCCGTTCCCTCTCGTAACCCATCGCCATTATGGCTTGTACGGTCTCTTCATGTTCGGCCGTCAGAGGCTCTGAAATTAAATATTTTCAGTTTCGTC